CATGGGCTGATGTCCAACCACTGAGCCACGCCGGCTGGGCAATGTCTATACATTTCTAAAGCAGTAACCGTGTTCCCTAAATACTTTCGTTCACTGATGTCACACACAGAACTGAAACAAGGGGTGGATGTGACTTAAAAGCAGCCAACAGAGGTACTGCACACAGAGCCGATATATGTGTAATAGACGGACAGTCGCCCCCCTTCCCCGTGGCTGCTGGGAATCTCCTCCCCTTCCGATCCCTGCGTGGGACGGACCTCACGACTGCCAGCGGAGGAGTGCCTCCCCTCCAGTCAGTATGTCAGTAGAGCAAATGGGCACACGCTTTTTCACATGGACAGTAAATGTCTTTTCAAGGCCACTAATAAGACTCAGAAAATATGTGAGTAAGCTGCTCTAAACATATGTAGCATCAGCACTGAAATATATGGTACTGAATGCAGTGTGTGTGTGTGTGTGTGCGTGTGTGTGCGTGTGTGTGTGTGTGTAAATCTCGGAGTTCCATAGAGCACAGAGGAAGCTTGTTATCAGGATGCCAAAGAGAACCACCAAAAAAAAGTCCTGAAAAGATGTATTCAAGTCAAACACGAGAAACAGCCCTGCGGCAAATGGAAAGCAAACGGCCGATTTTCCCAGCCCCCAGCCGGACTGAAGAGAAGACAGCCCCGCTCTCCCCATCTGCAGAAGACCAATAAAACTTTCCAATTCACAGAGTTTCACCTCAAAACTGCTGTATGATTTTAGGGAGCCTGACCTGTTTCAAAGCCACCAAAAAGTACAAGCCGACAAGGGTAAGAGCCCGCTGGCCCCTTTGCAGCCACTGTCACGAAAGAGGCGCCTGCCTGTCAAGCCATAAAGGAAGGAACCGGGCCGGAAGCCGCCAGGCCGCCCGCGCCCCCTCCCTTCCTCCCGGCCACACGCGGCGCCCGCGGGCACGGCGTCCGCTGCATCACCATCCTAACAGACGGTCAAGGCAAACGCCTGGCTATTCTGAACCAGTGTTCCTCTTGGTAAATTTACCTGTAATTTTAAACGACGCCTGTTTAGCCTATAGTTCTGTGGTGGCAATTTGAAGCAGCCCGGCACTGCAGTGTACAGACGAACTGTGAGTGCGAGACTAAGGAACTCTGGCCTTAATTTTTTAAAGCGAAGCCGCTGCACTTAATGTAACTGCTCCTCCAACTTAGTATTTCCCACCCTCCAGTCATCGTGGCCTGACCCAAACTCCCCTTGACCTCCTGATCTCTTCATCACAGCTCTGTGGGCTGAAAGGTGGTCCTTAAGCGTGTGGCAAGAACCTGATTAATCCAGGCTTATAATTTTTTAAAACCATCTTCTTCAAACTGCTGTGAGAGTGTCTGGGATGTTATGACGACACAAGCATCCTAACTCTGAAACTGCACTGAGTGTCGTCCCAGAAGGGAAACACCATATTGAATTTATTGGGTGGCACTGGTTAATAAAATGATACAGGTTTCAGGGGTACGATTCTATAATCCATCATCTGTATATTGTATTGTGTGTTCACCCCCAAGTCAAGTCTCCTTCCTTTACTCCCTTCTACACCCCCCCCACACACACACATATCCCCTTGCCCTCTGGCAATCACTTGTCTGTGTCTATGAGTTTTTCTTTTTACTCTTTGCTTAATCCCTCCCCCTTTCTCCCCCAGTCCCCAAACCCCTCCCCTCAGACAGTTGTCAGTCTGTTCTCTGTATCCATGAGTCTGTCTCCACTGTGTTTGTTAGTTTATCTCGGTCATCAGATTCCACATATAAGTGAAATCTCATGGTACTTGTCTTTCCCTGACTGGCTTATTTCAAAGCCCGCCGTCTCCAAGAGCACAATGTCACAGCTTAGGGACACAGAGACGCTCCTGAGGGGGACGTGCCTGCCATCTGTGACCTCGGCTGGCCACGACCACTCGGGCAGCCCTGGCTGTGGGGCCCCCCACCCAGAAGGGCCTGTGGATTTCCTACTGAGCACGACGTCCTCCACTTTCCTCCTTGATACTCACGACGGCTCTGAGACAAAACAAAAGGCTCTTCCCCACGAAGGGGGCCCGAAACGAACAGAAACACCCGAGCTTCTGTGACAGACTCCAACTCACCGCCCAGCAGGAAACCACAAGCACAGCCCGGGCCCTGCAGGTGCACGTCTGCCACGAGATGTCACCGTCAGAAGCAAGGTCTGGTCGCTGCACATTATGAACGTGCCTAATTCTGCTGCGCCGCGCACTTTAAAATGGTCAGGACGCATCAGAAGAAAACAGTGTAACTATGGTGATGAGTGTTAACTAGACTTTGTACCCAGTTCGTTTTCAGGGTTTTCCTCTGACGTTACCTTCCTTCCTTCTTTCTTACTTTGTCATTCCATTATTCACTCATTCAAGAGAGATTATGAAGCACCCACTATGTGCCGGGCACCGTTCTAAGCTGGTGTGCAGATACTGAAATAGTTCCCTAGTTCCACAGCCGGCAGCAACCCACCCCTCCCGTGCTGGCCACACCCCATCTCTTTCCTGGGACACCCCCTCCCCTGGACTTCCCTATGACTCAGAGCCGCAGGAACCCTCACTGTGGGCAGCTCCCAGTCGGTCAATGCCTGGGCCTAACCCCTTGTTAAATATTTTATCACCTCCTCGACACGGCAATGAGTGAATGACAAGGTCCCTGCCCTCCATAAACAAATAAATACATAAATGAATCAAATAACTGCAAACACAGGGTGGCAGAGAAAATAAAGCAGTAAAGGGCCAGAGGCTGACTGGAGGTGGGGAAGCAGGGAAAAGCCTGAAAGTCTCTCTGAGGAAGTAATACTAGGAGGAACCAGCACGCAAAGGTCTGAGGTGAAAACGCTCCGGACAGAGAACAGAAATACCAAGGCCTTCTGCCGGGAGCCAGCCTGGGATTTCCATGGTCAGAAGGCCAGCGTGATAGGAGCATCCTTTAAAAAAAAAAAAATGCCTTTTTAAAAAATAATAAATTTTTAATTGATTTCTGAAGAGAAGGAAAGGGGGGGAGAGAGAGGAAAGAGAGAAAAACCTCGACTTATGCCTCCTGCACACCCCCTGCCAGGGATCAAGCCCGAAACCCAGGCATGTGCCCTGACCAGGAATCAAATCAAACCAGAGACCTTTCGGTGCCCAGGACGATGCCCACCCAACTGAGCCACACGGGCCAGGGCGGGTGGGAGCATCCTGAGCGAGGCGATCACAGAGGTGGACAAGTGGGACGGGGGAGATCTTAACGGCTGTGGTAAGGAGGCTGAGTTTACGCCAGGAGCAGTGAGCGCCATTAGACCCACCTGAAACAGGCCAATGACATAATTTACATTTTTAAAGGATTACTCTGACAGCTGTGTGGCAACTGGGTTAAACGGAAGAAGGTAAAACGGACACAACATCCGAAGCTGTGGTGTCGTCCGGGTGACCAGTGGCAGCGGCCTGGGCCAGCTGATGGCAACAGAGACGGGAGAGCCGTGTGTTTCGGAGGCAGAGCTGCCCAGGCTCACGGACGAGTATGGCGTGGAAACAGGAAAAGGAGAGAAATCAAAAAGACAAGTGCCCTTTGATTCAGCAAGTCGCGATGCCAGTCCATTTATTCACTAAAAAGGCGAGGACCGGGGAAATGAGAGGTTTGTGGAGAAAAGGCATAAAACAAACACACCCACGATCGGTTTCCGACGAGCGGTCACGAGCAAGGTGGCACCCACGGCTCCCACCCTCGCCCGGACCCTCCCGCCAGCAGCCTGCTCCCCTCGGGTCTGCTCTTAAAATAACAGCAATCGCCTGGCTGGCGCTGCAAACAATCCCAGTCTCCTCGGAATTGGGAGGAAACTTGGAGGTCACTATATCCAGCCCTCTCGTTTTACAGATAAGGAGACCACATAAAGTATGGACAGAGAGCGCGGCTCACCCAGCATCCCAGGGCCCTGGAGTGAGAGCGCGACTCTCTGGTTCACGGTCACCACTCCCTGTGCTCCACGGCAGGCTGTGTACAGAGAGTGAGGGACAGGGGTGCCACAGGAGACGGCCCAGGGCTTCACGGCAGCCCGGTCAGGGGGCAGAGCTGGCATCTCCGTCTCGGAAACAAGGCCTGGGCTCCGGCTGCTTGTCACCTTGTCACTGGGCTCAGCCCGTACCTACAGCAGGTAACGGTCTTTCCAACAACCCCGCCAGGCTTTCCCCTATGGCTGTGGTTCCATGTGGTGGTGGCATGTCTAGCAGCCAGTGGCTCCCTCCATCAAGGTCTTCAGAAGGCCCTAACCCTCCCCACAAGGATGACAGGAAATGACACCTCTGTCCCCGGCCTTTCACACAGCATTCTCCTAACTGGATGTCACACTTGTCCCTAAAGAGCTATTCTAGGTTGCAAATGCATTTCAGCCCTGATGGCTTCGGTCTCCCACGATTTTTGCCCCAGCCCAGCATATATAAAAAATTCTAGAAGCGGTCACATCCAAACTCCGTAGCATGCATGCACTCGTGAAACTCACGTCTACCTTTCAGTGCTCACAGAGAACAAAATTTGTAATCAAAATGATTTGGGGAAAGTTGTGATATATGCAGGATTTCTGATTGGTTTGCCTACTTGACAGATGAATCAATAGATTGGTAAAATCATTATCATCCTTCCCACAATCCAGGATTTCCTTTTATCACCCCAGAAAGGAACATTTTAACAGTCCTTTAAAATCTTCATAGACACACAGATATTCTCCTGGAAATATCCGCTGGGGTATTCTTTTTTTTTTTCAACACCTGCACAACCGTGGCATCCTAGCTACACGCTGGGGCTCCATTCTACCGTTAGCTACAGAAAATAAAGCCCGAGAGGGAACAGTCCCTCAGCACCAGGTCCCCACTCTCCACTCCAGACCAGCCCCCAGGCTGCTGAGAGTCTCCACCATGGCCCCAGTGCCACGGAAAGAGGGACCCGGGTCCCATGCGACAGCGTCCGCATCCCATCCCAGAAAACCGTCGCGACCGAAGTACTTACGGCATAGGCGCCTATCAAAAACGCTGCGTTCGCTCGCTTGCGTTGGTCAAAGCAGGTGTAATGCACTATCTTCTTTCTTGATAAACTGTATGACTAGAAAGAGAGAGGAAAGAGAGTTAGCGTGACCACAGAGACAACGTTGAGAGACCCCAGACACACGTCCTCTCCCAGCTCTCCCAAGATGGGTCACAGCCGGTGGCCTTAAACCACGTGGATTTCTCTGGCATGTGGGCCTAAGTGGGGGCGCGGAGGGTTCCTAGCTCGGACCTTCTGCAGCTCGATCACCACGTGAGAATTGACATTTGAACAAATACGTTTCTCTCCAAGAAAGGAGACTGATCCATCGGAAATAACTGAGTTATTAATTAGCATCTTTATGAGCAGAAACCATTTCCTGCTCTTCCACGTAAAGTCATTTTTTTTCATTTCCTACACACCGCGCCCACGCCCAGAAGGGCTGCCTGTGCTCTTCCCAGTATACAGTTTGCCTTGATGTGTGTCCACTAGTCCACTTTCCTCTTTAAAATGTTTAAATGCCTACAGTAACTAGAGCACCACATTAATACTTCCTTGCTAAAATGTCCCCTAAAGTGCCCCTCTTCATCACCTGAAAATAGTAAATAGAAAAAGATGAACCATCGAAAGGATTATATGAGCAAACATCTCAATACAACAGCCGTACATTAAATTTAGGGATTCAAACAGGTATTGAGCACCTGCTGTATGCCAGGCAATGGGCTACATGCTCGAGCGTTCGACTAAACCCAAAGCGACGTGGTGCGTCCGCACATGCCGAGCAGGAAGGGAACCATACAGCAGAAAGATCTGTCAAAGCGAAATCAAATTCTTAATCGGAACGCCGGTAAACAGAAAACGGTGAGCTCAATAAAGCCCTCTCAATGTCCTCGTATTTCCAAAGTTATAAGCATCCTGACAAGCGGTTTTTAGAGTAGACACCCAAGTGCAATATTTACCTATAAATTCCCACTGGTGGTCAAGCAGCCGGGCGCCTTACGCGTGGACCGCAGAGCCCCGAATACCTGTTTTTAGAGCCCCCCTGACGTGCGGAGCTCAGCTGCCTACCGTCCTTCACCCCGTTACCTCCTATAAGGAAAAGAGACCCGCCCAACTCAGAAGTCTATTCTAAGATGGACCCGGGACACCCTGGCCCTCACAGGGGACCACAGGGAACGGGCCGAGAAACCCTCCCCAGCCCGCAGGCGCTTCTTTGACAACCAAGCGTCGCCTGTTCTGAGCCCAGCACTGCTCTCTGCAGCTGAGCCCGGAGAAGCCAGTGCCCGCCTCAGAGCGAAGTCCTCCCAGGCAGGCTCGCTAAGATGCCCCACGAAATAAAGACGGTCCAAGCGCGTATGACTCAGTGCAGTTCGGTCGGGTTAACACACTGAGGCCAATACACTGAGACTGCAGGGTCACTGTCGACGGTGCGGACACGGGCCTCCTGCTTCTCAATCGGAAATCTGTCTGCTAGACATTTCCCTTCTTTGCTTTATTATTTGTGGGTTTTTGCCACTTTATGTCTGACTTACAGAAAGGGGGTCAAGGTTCTTAAGACCTAAGCACCTTCTAGGGTCTCTGGATCGCAGCCCCTGGAGACTGCCTTCCGCCTAAACGCGAGTCAGACCCAACACAAGGCCTCAGCAATTCCGCTCCCAGATGCCCACTGCTGGCCTTTCCCGGTCCCCCAAACACCCGTGGGGAGCAAACCTCCACAGTCGGTCCTGAAGTCTGGATGATGCTCTTCCCCACCGAGAATCCAGGAATCATAACAAACTCCCGCTATCGCTGCATAAGGTGGAACTGAATTTATTTTACAAATCCACTCACCGAAGGGCAAACTCATACTGCTATTCACTCTTCATCCACGGTCTCTTTTTGTTTGTTTCTGAAGTTTTTTGCATTTGCTTGTTTTTAAGTTTTCTCTTATTGTGTGGCTCAGTGGCTGAGCGCAGTCCCATGAACCAGGAGGTCAGGGTTCGATTCCCGGTCAGGACACACACCCGGGTTGTGGGTTCAATCCCCAGTCGGGGGCGTGCGGGAGGCAGCCGATCGACGGTTCTCTCTCATCACTGATGTTTCTATCTCTCTCCCTCCCCTCTCCCTTCCTCTCTCCTAAATCAATAAAAACATTTTTTAAAAATTTAAAGTATAAGAATACAGAGACTTCTCAGACAAAAACCATGAAGCTGGAGGACAGTATTCTGAAAACCACCTTCTTTTTACTGTGTACCTATAAGATTTTTTAAAGTAAATATAATACAACTTAAAAGTCTAAGAACTTCAGAATTTTCTAAACTTTAGCAGCTTTCAGAAATTACGTCAGATTTAAAAATAATTCTATAATTCTTCACAAAAATCTACCTAGAAATTTTAACTACTTTAAAATATCTCCCACTGGAAGCTGCCTCTAGGAGGAAACGTGACTTTTTTTAACAATTGCCCCCACACACATTTACAACATGTTTTTCCGTGATGAGAACTTTTTAGACTTACTCTCTTAGCAACTTTCAAACATACAATTCGGTGTTATTAACCGTAGTCACCACACTGACCTTACAGTAACTGACCTTTTTTTAGAGTTTTCTATCCAATTCTAAGGAACAGTTTTAAACCTCCTCGCACTTACCTCGCTTAGATGTTTTTGGAATTCAAGTGTTTTTCTCCGTTAAGTCCCAAAAGCACTACAGTCAAGAAATGACCTGCTCCCGGCTCAGACACAGAGAGAAAGACCAATCCCTACTTGGGGAACAAACGCTAACTCCGGGTGAATGGTAGCGGGGGAATCTCGTGTATTGCCTGGTCTCCCTCCGGGCCTCCCTCCCGGTCACCCTGCCCCAGGCTTCCACCAGCAACACCGTTCAGCAGGAGACGTACTGGAATGACAACTTCCAGGCCTGACAAAACATCCTGCCAGCTGTCCAGCTGCTGCTTTATGTGGGTTGATGCACACAAGCTGGTTAATGTTTCCTCCTTTCAAATATTAAACACGTCCCTCTCTTTAAAAAAACAACAACAATCTACCTTATTACATAACAAACCACCCTCGGAGAAGCAACGCCGTCCACGGGTAACGGAAGTACCTTCGGAGGAACAGCTGTCTCATCCCTGGAGATATTTCACGAAGAACTTTACCCTGAGGGCAAAGAAGGGCCCAGTCCGCAGACAAGCTTTCTCTAGTTTATGAACGAGTCCAGCAGATATTTTCTCAGGTTCTGCCCTAATCCCAGGGAACTCCAGGCCTCCAAGCTGGACAGCGGCTTCCTCCTCGTTGGGCCTGTCTCCCCTGTGGGCTGGGATGCTGACCAGGCCTTTAGGGGACCACCTGCAAACCTACCCCATCGCCTCTGGCTTTCAGGGAGCCACGTGCTCTCGGGGAAGATATCTTTGCTTCTCACTCAGGTCCGCCGCGACATTATCAGCCAGCGCTACATCTGGGAGAAGGGCGCATGAATGTGTGACTGGTCCTGGCCCTGGAAATGTTCTACCGGGAGCCTGAAACTCTGTCCCTCTGGACGAGTAGCCTCAAAAAACATGAAATTCTCTGAAAAACTGCAAATCATGCCATGTGCCTTCCTAAGAGCATGTGATAAAAAAACAAACACAGTTCCCCAGATTGCTCAGAAAACTTTACTGCAACCTGTAAATCCTTGCACAATAGCACCTTAGGAACAAGTTCCTGTAATGAGTCGGTGACTAAGCCGACTGAAATTCACATTATTCCTCAGGTTCCAAATCCAGAGGCTCTCCAGGGCCGGGAATCTCTGCTGGTCAGGTGGCAAACTGGACGAGCCTGCCCGACCCGCAGCAGACCGAGCTCCACCCTGCTGCTCCCAAGGAGGAGTCCGGGCTCTGAAGTGGGCGCTGCAGTATTTAGAAGAAGCCAGACACCCAGGATTTGATGGAAATTTTTACAAATCACCGACGTTGCCCTGGCTGGGTGGCTCACCCCATACACGTTGCCCTGGCCGGGTGGCTCACCCCATTGATTGGAGCATCACCCCATACACCAAAGGGTGGTGGGTTCGATTCCCGACGAGGGCACATACCTAGATTGCGGGCTCAATCCAGTTGGGGCACGTACAGGAGGCAACTGATGGATGTTTCTCATATCAATCTTCTCTCTCTCCTCCCCCTCCTCTAGAAAATCAATCAATCAATTGCTGATGTTGACCATGAATTCAAAAATTTTAAACAGCATTCACACCCCCCAAAACAGGTCTGCTGAACATGGGTGCTGGGACACTGTGGCTGATAAAATCCCGTTGGTTCCATCAGCAAGGATTGAGCCGCAGGTGGGTGTGAAGCACAGGCTGAGCAATGTGGTGACAAGGGGAGCGGGACCTCAGTCTCTAGCCTCTGAGCGCCCACAGTCTGATGAATATTGGATACTCAACAAGGGGGCATACTGGCCAAGGCTCATCACCAACAGAAGAGAACAGCTACCTGGGGATGCGTTCACAGCCAGCAAGGGCCAATGGAATGATCTTAATTACAGGTACAATCGCTGTTAAACAAGGTAAAAAAAATAGTACATAAAAGGTGGGACTTAGTATTGACTATCTTTCAATTAACATACTCAAACCTACAGAAATTTCCAGCCCTGTGTTGCTTACCTGGGAGTCAGAGTTTTGGCCCTCTCGGTAGACCATGACAGATGTATGACACAGCATGTAAACACTTAATGGCGCTTGTAAACCGAAGTACTACAATGGCTATGACAGAACATACATGAAGATGAAGGTACTGGCCCGGGACAGGCGTTTCCTATCTCAGAAAGGAAAGCTACGCAGAAGGTCCCCTCCCAGAGGGATCACCCCGGTGAAAAACAAGCGACAGCGACTCTGGGAGGGAGCGAGAAAATCGACGACATGCCGCCCAATCACAATGGCCCGGGCTGTCCCTTGGACAACGGTGACATGCACAAGCCATGCTTAGGTGAGGAGATTACAGACCGTCACTGAGCCATTCAAAACCAAGAGGTGAGGAGACAATGAAGCTCGAAGCCAAAACACAAGAAAGGAGCTCATGGCTCCTTTCTCGAGAAACCGACGTCTAAGCAGCCCCCGGAAAGGCCG